GGCTGCACCACTGAGGCCAAGAATAGAAACACTCAGGGAGTCCTGGCAGATGTCCCCTACTTGGGACTGAAAGGCGACAGGTGGAGCGCGATGGGAGTGGGGGTGGGGGTTGGACAGGAAAAAGGGCGACAGAAGCATAGAGAAGGTTAGAGGCTCAGAGACCCTGAGGGACTTCAGAGCCAGGGGAAGAGAAGGGGAAATGGGTGTGGTGGGACACACCTGTAATCCCAGCACTTGGGTGACTGAGGCAGGAGGATCACAGCAAGTTTGAAACCAATCTGAGCCATACATTGAGACTGTGTCTCAAAAGGAGGGTAAGGGCACACACAGACACACAGACACATGGGGGAGGGGGTGGAGACGGGGGGGGCAGAGAGAGGCTGGGAGGCTGGAAAAGACAGAGGCCGGGGCAGTGAGGGTCCAGGGCACAGGACTGGGTGCTCTGGCAACCCAGTATGTGTCCTCCACATGCTGCCTTGGTTTTTTACTTTACAATTGCCCTTTGACCTCAGAATCTTGAGGACCAGATAGCATGGTGCCAGGATGTGGCCCTCATCCCCAGATGGACCATTACTAGGATAGACCCTGGCCTTCTGCTCCCCCTCTTGTGGCTCATGCCACCACCTCCACTGCTTCTTCATGGTGCGCCTATCTGGGCCCTCCTCCTGGCTCCAGTTCTCTTCCACTGTCCCAGATAGGCCTGTCTGTCAACACCTCCCCAAATAACTGTGGTGATGACAGCAGGGCTGTAGCACTCCGGGTACATCAGCAATTTCCAATTCTGGGGCCCCTCAAGTTTCCCAGCCTCTTGAGAATGTCTGGCTGGGTGACTGCGGTAGAGGCATTTTCCTTCTGCTCCAGTCTGGAGCCCTGGGAAAATATTCCCCCAACAGCTGTCCGTCTGTCTGTCTGTTCGTCCCTCTGGCGGCCCAGCACACCCTGAGAAAATGGCAGCAGCTGTGCCAATTTCCTGAGGTTGCTATGAGGAGCCCAAGCCCTTGTCACAGCTTCAGATATCTCATGCCGGCTCTCTCTGTGGGAACCAGAAATTCTTAATGGGCTCCACTGGGATGGCCTCCTGCTTTTAAGGACCTTGTGCCTTCACCCAGGCACACACCAAGTCCAGCTGTTCCTGAGGAAGGCTGGTTATAACCAGTCCTCTCTGCTGCCCAGCTCCCCCTGCACCTGGGAAGTCAAGGTCCACGGTCACAGGCTACCAGCACCATGGTCATCTTTGGGGCCTACTGTCTGGCCTGTTTCCTCACCAGTGGTCTAAACCTTAGGGAGGAGTGATCCCTGCTTCATTATATGTTATTCTACTGATTTTGAGGATGACATGTTGGTCTCTAGCTTCTGTCTCCCTCTAGGCACTGGCTTGTGACCAAGAACAGTCCCTAGAAGCTTAGACGCAGATAGCAAAAGAGCAGATTTATTGAGGCAGCAGTGGTTGGCAGCAAGTGGGGGCTTTGGGGTAGGAGCAGGCCTCCTAGGGTGTGGAGTTGCAGGCCGCTCCCAGGCACTGGACACTCAGGACTGTAGCAGCAGGCAACTGTTCACAGGCAGTGGGTCAGCTTGTGTGCAGCCAGCAGCCAGTCTCCTCTACCTCCTTGGTCACCACCAATAGCACCTCGCACAGGCCTTGGGCCAGGGCAGCTGTCAGGAAGGCTCTGGAGGGAGACATGTGGAGATGAGGTCTGGGCAGTGCAGGCAGGCCCGTCTCCTTGCAGAACAGTGCCAGCGCTGGTCTCAACCTTCACTCCACTCACCTGACACCATCCTCACCCCCTAGGGCTTCAGGTGCCCGAAGCTTTGAGTCCAGGTTATAGTAGATGCCATCCACTTGGCGCAGGGCCACCCAGTGCCGGCGGCGCAATGGCAGGGCCAGCAGTCCCAGCGACACAGGAGAGGGTAGGTTCAGGATCAGGCCTAGCACCTGGGGCAGGGCCAGCTGGGACAGCGGTCTGGGGAGGGGAGTGACACAGCATGAGGCCCCAGAGGCCCTTGGATACTGCTTCCCTCCCCAGAACAGCCACTCACCACCCACTGACCTGTCACCCTCTACCTGTCAAGTCCAGCTTTGGTTTTGTTTAGGCAGGGTCTCAGGTGTCCCAGATATGCACCACTACAGCAGTTCATGGGGTGCTGGGGATGGAACCCCAGCCTCATATACATGCTGGGTAAGCGTTCTGCCAATGGAGCCCCAGCCCCTCAACGTTTTGTTATTTGCCTTTTTGAGTCAGGGTCTCTATATGCAACCCAGGCCAGCTTCCAATTCAGTTTTGCCTCAGGTCAACAGGCTGGTCTCACTACTCTTAACCCCATTTCCTCAGTCATGAGTCACTCATGTCACTTGGACCCCCCACAGAATACCTTTCACTGGTACCAAGTTTATCAGTTTAGCTCATCAGTCAGTCAGTCAGTCAGTCAGTCAGTCAGTCAGTCAGTCCCCATTAGCCAGAGGCTCTCTGGCAAAAACCTCCCCCATCTACCTTCAAGTCACCCTCTGCTTCATCCCACAAACCCAGGGCCAGTGTAGCCCACAGCCTAGGCCCTACCTCCTCCTGTCCCACCACACAGCGGCCAGGCCCAGGCCTTGCAGGGCAGCCATGATCACGTTGACATCATAATTGCCGGTGCCCAGGAGGCTGCGATGAGGGTTCAGCCGGGAGTCTGGGGCCAGCCTGGGGGTGAAGGGGGCAGAGCCAAGGTTGGGAATCCTGGAAAGGCCTTCAACTTCTCACACAGCAGGAGAGGCCCAGAGCCTGGCTTTTGGCTCTTTCTCTTTAAGCCCCACACAGCTCATTGGGCTCTAAGCCCTGTTTTTCCTCCCATTCCCAACACCTGTACTCTCTGCCTAGCTAAAGTTTTTGTCTTTTTCCACTCAGAAACCCTTCCCAGTCTCTAGTCTCTCCATCCGATCCACCTCCAAAAGCCTTGAGCTGCCTGCCTCTCTCCTACTCCCACCTCTCCCATGACTCCCAAGTGCTCTGGACAAAGTCTCTGCCCTTCCATCTGCCCTTCTCATCATGGCCTCTTTCCAGACCAGCCTCAGATGTCATTTCTTCTGGTAGAGAAGCCATCAAACCCCCAGAATGGGCACAGAGCTCCCCTGAGTGACAATGCCGCTCATGTCACCATATTTGAATACAGAATGCCTCTTTCATTTGGCAATACCCTGCCCTACTCTGTTCACAGCCCTCCCTGGTGCCCCAAATCCCGGGGACAGACTCTCACCTCCTCCAGTGGCAAGTGGTTCTTGCATAGCCTCAGCACCAGCTCTTACCAGCCACCTATCTCCAGCTGTCCCTGTGCCCAAGCCTTCCCTCTAAGCTCTCTCCAGATGTGACCCTGTTCCTCTGAAGAGCTGGCCCCTTGGAGAGCAGTGACATGGAGGGAACCACTTGTGTTTGCTCTGTGTCCCGAGCCTTCTCCTCACTACATCTGCCTTAGCTCTAGTTGTTCAGCATGCTCCTGGCATGACAGAGCTGGTGGCAGGGGGATGGATATCTCCTAACATAAATCTACAGTCTGAGGGTGCTGGCTGAGCAGCAGTGAGAAGATGTGAAGGCTGCCTCTGGATGTGGACATGAACTGCAGGCTGGGGTGTTGGCGTATCTGTGAAAGGATTGTGGGGCCTACAAGTGGGACTAGGAAGAGAGTTTAAGAAAGTGATGGTTGAAATTCTGAAGGGCACCTACGTGACCAAGAAGAACAAGAATGCCTGGGTAAGAGCTCAGAATCACCACAGTGGGGTCATCTGGGGCCAAGGAGAGTAGTGAAGGAGAAGCTGCAGACTGGTAGGCAAGGACCAGAGCACCCAAAGCCTTGGAGTTCAGGCTGAAGGACCTGGGCTATTCTCTAGGAGTGCCAGGGACCCCCAGAGGAATAAATGCAGAGGAGGGGGAAGGCAGCTGTGGGGCTGTGTGTAGGATGGTCAGGAGGAGAAACACAGACAGCTGGGAGGCTGTGACAAAGGCTCAGATAAGAGAGGTTGAGGCCAAAGCTGGGTTGAGGCTGTGAGAAGCAGCAGGTGGAAGGGCAGACATCAGCTCCAGGATCTGCGCCCCGGCCTTGTTAGTGCCCAGGCAGGCTCCCATGCCCCTCAGCCCTGCTCTTCCAGGGCCAGGACCTAGGGCAGTCACCTCTTGCAAATTTCATCTGCAGCTTCCTGGCTAAAGAGCTGTTGTTGGAGGACGTTGTTGAGAGCGTGGACCGCGCACAGCTCTAGCCGCTGCCGCTCGTGGTACACTGAGGGTGGGCTCGGCCGCGCTTCCGGGGCCTGAGACATGCCCTCCTCGGCTCCTGCTGGGGGTGGTACAAGGAGAAAGTGTTAGGGACCCAGGATCTCGGCCATCTGGGTCTCCAGACTCCTGTGTCCCTGGGCAACAGCCACTGAGATGGGCACTGGAGCCAGCTTGGGAGGAAACGACCCAGCTACCTAGGCTGTCTCCGAAGCGTAGAGGCATCTTTATGCCCTAGTCCTAGGGGGAAAGGGCTCTTTTTTGCTCACTTGGCAATAGAGATCCACCCCCACTTCATGTCTCTAAGCAAAAAAAAGTCCGGATCACTATAACCTAGTAACGAAGTATCGCCCCTTCTGTCCCTAGGAAACAATACCTTTTTGGTTCCCAAGCAACAGAGTACTCCCCACCCGCTTGGTAACCGGTCCGATTTCTGATCACCTAGCAATGGAGGACTCCTCCTTCCCCGTCTCTGGGTAACAGGGTCTCTTCTGGTCGCCTAGCAACGAAAGACTTCCCCTCATCAATAACCAGGGTTCTCTCCTCCCGTCACCTGGCAACAAGGCCCTCTCCCAGTCACTAAGCAACAGGAGCTCCCCTCTTCCTGTCACCTGGCAACCAGGCACGCTCCCCCCCGCCTCCGCACGGCACTCGCTTGGCCCTCACCCCGTCGGCCTCTCTGCTCGCTGGGACCGGCCGCTTTCTCATTCCCTGGGTAGCGGCCGAGTGGTACCACGCTGACTGGGCAGGCAGGACGGACTACAGCTCCCGACCGCCCGAGCACTCCTGACTGCAATTCCCGAAGGCCTCCGAGGCGCCTAAATAGGACGCGCGGTACGGAAGTCCGCCGGGGACGCTCTGCAGCGCGGAACTACAACTCCCGTCGGACCACACAGCCAGTTTTCATGCACCCCCAGGGCTCACTGCAGTCTAGAGGTTTCTGGGAAATGTAGTAACTGGGGCTCTCGCGATAGCTTCCAGGAAAATGGTTTGTGCGTATGCTCGTGCGCTCGCTGCTATGGCGTCACACACAGTGTGTTGAAGCGTGATGTAATAGAGTTAGGGGATAAGGAACTAAAGAGGCCAAAGAGAACAGCCGACAGAACTCTGATGTTTACTGAGACACACAGTGGTCGAGGTGACAGCAAGGGCAGCGGGGGAGACTTGTCAGCAGAGGTGAATCCCAGGTCTGGAGGGGAGCTGGCAGCAGCCTGTGGGGAGAATGAAAGACTAGAATGACCACACAGACATGCAAGCAGCCATGGCGGCCGTGGGCTTTGAAAATGATAGTGTAGTACAACCCAAAGAGGATACTCAGAAAGAGATGTGGGGTGTGGATGCAGAGACAAGAGGGGGGCTGAGACTCAGAGAAAAAGAGAGACCTGGGAGAGAAAACTAAGGATGGGCAAAGACAGACAACCGGGGTGGGACATCCGACATGTGAGTTCTGCAGGGCACAAAAGTCAAGGGACTCTTGGAGGGGTCTGGACGCACCCAGTAGGCTGCCCCAGAAGGCTGTGACAGTAGCAGAGCCGGTGACAGCGCCAGGCTGGGCTGGGTTCTCTCTGTGGGTGTGCACAGCAAAGCTGTGGCCTGTGGGCCCTGGGGGGCCTTTCAGCTCCACGTCCACCACGTGCATGTCTTTGAGGCTGCAGCCAGCGGAGAAGGGTAGTTAGTACATCTGGCCTGTACACAGGTGGGCCACTTACTTCCGTTGCTCACCTAAGGTCAGCCACAAGCACCCCAATGACACGGTCGAAGCCTAGACTGGGGGCAGCCAGGGCAGCAGCTGCCATGGTGTTAGAATTTCGGGGGGCCAAGGGGCAGAGCCCACGCACAGGGCCCTCGTAGAGCACTGTGCGCGGCCCACTGATGTGTGCTGCAGCCAGGGACCCCTCCAGTCGGAAGCCATCAGGATGTGTGGCCATGGTGACTCGAAGGCTCTGGAAACAATGGCAGGGTCAGGAAGCTGAGACTCTTACATGTTCCCTCAGTTGCAGCCCATATGGTTCTCACCTGGAGGCCTCCCGATGCATCCAATCTCCTGATGTCTTCAGTCCCCCACAGGGCTCCTCGGGCCACAAACACAGTGTGGCCCCAGCAGTTTGATGCCTCCATGAGCTGCTGCTCTGTGGTCTGGTCAGCCAGAGCTGAGGGAGACCCCACCTTGGGAAGTATGGTAGAGAGAGGGAAGGCCAAGACATAGATCATTGCTGTGTGGTGGGATGCAGCCAACACAGAGAAGGGCTTGCTGAGGGATTAGGGGGCTCACCAGGAGGTTAGCATGTCGCAGGATTTGTACCCCTGATTCATGGATTATATTTGGATGGGCCACTTCTACCACAAGGTCAGGATGCCTGGGAGAGGGAGACATGGAGTAGGCCCTTAGAGAAGAATCAGGTCTCAGGGTTTGGAGGGATGTCACTCCTTACCCTGGCTAGGGAGGGAAATGGGATGGTGGGTGTATTCTAGTTTATCTTTATGTGCACTGAGACCCAGAGAGGGTCAAAGTGTTGTCTGACACTGGGAGGCAGGCAGTAAGGCTCCCACTGTGCTGTGGGCCACTGACCTTTCCTTAAGGGTAGTAAGGTCTTGGAGCTGCAGGGCAGGGGGCACACTCCCTGCCATTCGTCCAGGGTCACGGTTCCATACAAAAACAAGTTCTAGGCCCAGTTCTGGTCCCTGAGCCAGAAGGCGAGACACAAGAGACTGTCCTGCAGAAGGGGAGAGCCAGAGATCCAAGGAAAGTACAGAGACTACACCCCAGTCATGGAGATGGAGAGGGGGACAGAGAGAGATACACAGACACAGAGGAGGGGGAGGGCCAGTGACCCAAGGAAAGTACAGAGAACACATCCCAGTCAGAGAGACAGAGGAGAGAGGGACACACACACACACACACACACACACACACACACACAGAGAGAGAGAGAGAGAGAGAGAGAGAGAGAGAGAGAGAGAGAGAGAGAGAGAGAGAGAAAGACTATATAGACACCAAAAGGGGAGAGACAGAGACTCAGAGACACACAGAAAGAGGGACAAAGACCTAGAAAGAGAAAAAGAGAGAGAGATGAGACCAAGAGGAAAGATAGAAGACTGAGATACCTCAGAGACCCAGAGAGAGAACAGAGACCTAGAGAGAGGCATACACACACACACACACACACACACACACACACACACACACACACACACACACACAGAGTGGGGGGGCACGACAGAGAGGACCAGAGAGAGGAAGGCCCAGCAAGTGGGCAGAAGGCAGACTGAGCTGGCAGACTGGGGAGAAAGACAAGTGGGAGCAGATATTTCTGGGACATTAGGGATAGGGCCACAGGAGGAGGCCCTAGGCTAGTTTGGACTCACCCAGGCGGCCATAGCCTACCACCCCCACCTTCTGGGGGACTTGAGGGACTACACTGGTGGCCATGGCCTTTAGCACGGTGTCCTGTTGTAGATCTTCAGTGTTTGTTGGTCTCTGTACCAGACCTGGGCAGTGAATGATCTTTGTAGTTTAACCCTTGACCCTCTCCACTGGAGCCAGAGGGAGGGAGCAGGGTGGTAGGGATGAGGTGCTTCTCTGTGAGCCCTCTGCCCTCCTGTGCTGGCTGGCATGGTGGCTTGCGAGCTAGGCCTTTGTGGCCCTGTGTGCTCACTACCCCACTGCCTCCTGTGCAGCCACATTCTCCCATCCCTCATGAGGTGCAGTCCCCCCTCCTCAGGCTGAACAGCAGGTTGTCATGGAAATTGCATTTTGCTTGGGATAGGGGAAGAACTGGGGACTAGAACTTGGGTCTTCCACTAGGTCCCTTACAGACCTCTTGATCTCTGTTATGTGGAAAGGTCTGGCTGGAGTGTCATGTGGTTCGGCATGCCACACTGTGTCCTGTCTTTCTCAGTCCTCCATGCCCCTCAGTCCCGGCCAGAGTCCCCTCCCCCACCCCAGTGTCTAATTGCCCTTGAGGTCACAGTCTCCTGCCTCTTTGTATTCCTGGTCCCCTGCCTCCTCTCCCACCTCCTATCCCAGCCACGAAGAAGGGGGTCTGCATAGCTGGGGGAGTTCCTAAGTGTCCCCAGGATGAGTCCAGCCACTGCCTGTCAGGCCTGGCATGGGACATGGCAGGCTGCAGTAGGCCAGCTCCCTGCCCCCATTGCCACCTGGTACAGCCGCAGTGTTGCCATGGTAACCAGGATCCTAGCTGAGATGGCTGCGAGCAGGCAGGAAGGATGGAGAGAGAACCCAAAGTGCATGCACAACAGCTCTGCCCTAGACTTCATCCACACAGAGCAGCCAGACAGGGAGGGAGGGGGCCACACACCCGACAGGTGTCACAGATAAACAGGCCACTTCGTACTGTGGTGGGAGAGAGGAGAGGATGCAGGGATAGAGCGTCAGGAGAGGTGGGGACAGGGAGAAGGTGGCACACACACACACACACACACACACACACACGGAGTTGGGGAGGCTCCCTGCTCTCCCATGTCTGGCAGAGGTATGTACCCTGGGACTTCAGTGCCCACAGAGGGTCTAGATCTATATTTGGGTGACAGGCCAAGTGTCCATGTGCTGTATGCCTGCCTCTGGCTGTCTCTGCCTCCCTAGGCCTTCTCAGACTTCCTAGGCAACCCTAGTTCTCTGAGGCTGAACCTTGGACACACGGGCCCCTCTGAGATGTCACTAATATCCTCACGCCAGCACCATCCAGCCCTGGCCTAGTTGCAGGCTTCCCTCCATGTGCCCTGGTCTGTTTACAATGTTGGCATGTGGTCATGTGGCCCAGACCTGTTTGTTTTGTATGCACCTCCCTTGTACAAACTGTCTCCTGACTAGCCAGGGATGTGTGTGAACTAGAGAAGACTCCCTGTGGGGATATAACCACTTGCTCAGTAGTATCACCCAGAAGGTTCTGTGGCTACCCTAACCTTCAGATCGTCAATTTTGGCCTTCCTGGACAACTGTTTCTGCAGATGGTCACTTTAGGAGAGGTTCTGCTGATGTGCAAGCCCCTAAAACAGAATGATGGCACCCCTACTCTGAGGAGGCACACATGGATGGCCCCAGCAACCCGGAGAGGCTGGGACAGAGCTTTTCTGGCCAGGATTCAGAGGGACCTAGCCCTGTCAGCACTGTGACCTTGGATTTACAGTCTTCAGAATTCCAATATCCTACAGTTCTGCTGTTCCAAGCCACTGTGGAACTTTGCAGTCCTAGGTCCCTTCTGGGTTGTGTGATGTTTGTGTGTGTGTGTGTGTGTGTGTGTGTGTGTGGGGCAGACACCAGAGTCAGAAAGGAAAGAGCCAGAGATGTCGATGGAGACAGAGACACATAGGAGAAGGCCAGAAGTCAAGCTTCTAGAACATTCTTGGAAGGGCAGACAGGAAGATGGGACAGTGCTGCTATGTGCTGGATGAGCTCATTCCTCTCCAATGGAGTCCTAGAGTTGTAATTTTGGGGTGCCCGCTCCCACCTCCTGGAGGACAGCATCACTGGCTGGCCATTCTCTCCTGGTCCCACCCACAGTGGCTTTGTACTCTGTCTTCAATACTTTCATGACCAAAAAAAAAATTTTTTTTTTTTACTTTTTCCATGTTTTTTTTTTTTTTAAAGTAATTACAGAGCAGGTAGTGACAGACGCAAACCTCCCTTCAGTATCAAAAGAGTCTGTGGGGCGGGTGGGGCCGGCCAGGGCCGCGAGTAGAGCTCGCTGTCGGGGACACTGTCGGAGTTGCCCCTTGGGCTCTGGTGAAGTTGTCTGTCTCTTGTGTTTTGAGAGTGGAGGAGTAAGAGGAAAGGACAGGCGTCAAACTGCAAAAAAAGAAAGAAAAAAGAAAGAGCCATAAAAGGAGGGCTGGGGTGGGGGGAGGTACTCCTCGAAGAAGCTCCTCTCCCCTGGAGGGTGGCGGCAGGGCTGGTGGGCAGAGGACTCGGCAAGGCGGAGGGCGCGGCCCCTGTCCTGATCTCCAGGTCCTTTCTTGTTGCAGGACC